GAGGTCGGTCCGATGCTTAAGCACAATAGTATTATTATTATTATTATTTTCTGCCTGTCGAATTTTAAGTAAAAAGTTTACCCTACACATCCGCTGGACGACGGCTTGTCCTGTCTCTTGCAGTTGTTTAAACTTGGCTCCAAAAGGAGCAAAAAGGAATAACCCAAGAAAAGCGACGGAGCAAGAACTGCGGGATGGAAAAACTGTAGCTGTAGCAGAGAGGGAGACTCAACAGCACTTGAACAAGTTTGCCTCTCCTTCGCTGGATCCATAGCCGTTCTATCTTCAGTGCGCCACAGGTAGAGGAGGGCAGAGCCTGCAGCTGCAGATACTCGTACTAGGACTTGGATACATACGTACTCTTCCATATATATGTATAGTTGTATGTATATATATACATATAGAGGAGGCATGCTGCGCGCTGTTTGCTGAACTCAACTTGCAACTTTGTTGCCCTGGCATTTCGTAGTTTTTCTTTTTCGTTCTTGTTGTTCGCGTTTTTTTTGTTCAGCTTTTCTTTTCGCGCTGTTTGCTGTCGAATTTGTTGCTGCCCCTACTTCCTGCTGACTGCTGCTGCTGCTGCTGCCGCTGCCGCTGTTGCAGTTGGATTTTTCTCTATTTTGTCGTAGTTGCTTCATGCCCCGTTGCATTCGAACACTTGCGCTGCTGCCCCGACACATCTGCATCCAAATAATATACGGGAAAAAAAGAAGTTGCCATCCAGTATTCAGGAAACGGACCACCAGGGGAAAGAGACATTCGTTGAGCGGCTGTTTAATTTCGACGAACTTTCATTCACATGTGCAGGCATGTCCTTGGGGTACAGGTATTTGCGTCAGCTTGGTTACATTTTTAAAATGTTCTTATTGCGGTCACCGCACAAGAACAATAAAGTTAGTTTAGATTGCTGCAGATGTAACACCTTCCATCAGGAGAATCGATAATATCCAGGCTATAAATCGAAGCATAATATCTGAGATAAAAGGATACAACTTTCCCTAGGGGCGGGACTGGAGCTCAAACTAAATTACCAACAAGATAAAGATAGCAATCAAACAGGAATTTGCCCAAAAGCCACAGAATCGTTTAATGTAGCGCACAAATTACAAAATGCAATCCGACCAAAAGACAGAGGCAGGAGATACATAGGATGCTGCTGAAGACTGACACTGAGACTGAGACAAAGGACAACACATGTGCCTGGCCGCAAGAAATGTTGACGACATTTTCTGCTGTTGCACACGACAATGGAGTTGCAATAGGAACAACAGCACCCAAGGCATGAAACTGGAACGACAATCGGACGACGCGTGGGCTACACACATGGATGCAGTTGCTCTGCCCATTCTCTACAGGCTCCACGCCACCAAATCCCCCCATTTCCCCAGTGCCCGGGAGCAAACACCTACAACAAAGAGCCATCGGCCTTCAAAATATAAAGAAAATGTCGGAAAAAACAAGGAAAAAGCAACTGCAACAGCAACAATAACCGGACGTGCCACGGTCGCCATTTGTTGCGGCATTTTGACAATTTTGCCATTTAATGTGGCGCAAGCAGTATCTGGCACAGAGGAGACGAAAGCAGTTGGTGCAGGAGGATGCTCCGGCATCATGTGGGGCCATTGTGGAAGAGGCAGACATGGCAGGGCGTACGCTCAATATATAAGGCCTGGGACACAATGAGAAATGAGATGTCGCCGATTAAAGCCAAGGGTGGCTTAGCCTTAAAAATTGGTTTGCAGTGCAGTTTGGAATACTTACAATAAATTTAACATAATGATTTAAAAGCCTGCCAATAATGTTTTCCACATTAAAGATGGAAAAACAAACTTTAAATTCTTTAGATTCTCAACAAGATTGCCCATGCTATTATTGGCATTACTATCAAATTATATCTCCAAGAGAGACAGCAAAATAACAAAATGAATAATTGCTCCCCTATGCCACACATGATTCTTCTATGCAAAGTCGAGTAAATTCCATGGGAATATTTGGCAGACTGGAAGTTCTGTGAATCTTGACAAATTTTCGGCAAAGTACCGAGAATTCGTTTCCACTTAAAGCGATTCCCTTTTTGCATTTTCTATTACCTTCCGACCGACCACCCGCCCACCCGCTCACCCAGAAGCCTGACTCAAGTGCATTTTGTGTAGTGGCAGTGCTGTGTGCTTTTCCATGCTCTAAAACCCTAGTAGGAAAACAAATTGTACTTGTTCGTTTGTTGGCTGACTTCACTCACAAATTTGCCCAGATTTCGTATACGCAACGTTGCACATTTCGAGGGAAGTGGGGCAGAGAAGCCTCTCAGCTGGCAATCTGGTAACAAAACACAAAAGTTTATTGATTTGTTGCTAAAAGTTGATCTTGCTCCCCATTCTTATTCCTTGGCATTCTCTCGCATTTTTTTCGGAGTAGATTTGATTTGATTTTCCAGGCACAGAGACAGAGACAGACCCGAAAGCCACTCATCCAAAAATTGCTTTGGCAGAGTAGAGCAAAATGTATTTGCGGTTGCGTTGGAAAACTGCAAGGGAAGCACATCTTAAAATGCCATTGTCGTTCTGCTGGCTGGCTGGCTGTCCTGGCCTGGCCTGGCTGCTGATGTTTATCCACACAGCTTATCCGTTGTCATTTCTCTGTGTATATTTTGATTTAATTTGCAATGTGCTAACCAAAATGCATTTCCTGTTGGGCTGTTGGGCTGGCATGCAATTTGCCAAATGTCAAATGGGTTAGAGCCAATCCCAGCTGCCATCACAATCGCATTAGCTGACAGTTGACAGACAATTCAAAATCCTGCTACTGCCAGATCCTGAACACAAATTAGCCCACAAATCGTCTTCTATGCGACTGTGAGATGAGTGTCTGTATTTTGCGTTAATTTAGTGTTGACATTTATGGGAGATGACCTTTTAACTGCTGCTTAAGCTCAGCTCTGATAGATGGATGTCGTCTCCTCATTAACATTTGCAGAACGAGAACTGCTCAATGTTTCGCTGACCGTAGGGACCCCAGCCAAAAGTCAAAAGTCAGGGGCTCTATTGTTTCCCCACTGGCATTAAGCAGCCTCCAGATTGGTGTTTGGACGATGGCCAGCTCCACAGATGCATATGCGTAGATAGCCCGCATGTCCACAGCTCGTGGCGAGTGTTCAGGGCGAGATAAAACACATTCAACATGAGCGCATTTCGAAAAGGGCGGTGGTCAGGGAACTAGTTCCAAAATCGTATGGGTGATTAGAGCAGGGAATTCCCTGCATTATAAATCCAATAATTAATACTGTTTAAATAAATATAAAACATTAGTTAATTATAAATTAGAACACTTACTTGCATGCTTGAAATGTACTCCGTTTGGATTTTAATTGTGTCGAATAATTTAATTTTGTTCACTTGCCAGTTTTGAAAGCCACTTAGAGGTTCCAGTTCACTTTTGGCATTCCTGTCATTGATGCGTGGCGGGCTCTAAGGGTGCAGAGTGGTGGAAGAGGGCCCAACAAGGTGTGACACAGTGCCCATGTGCCTATGCGTAATGCCAGCGACAGTGTGTGTGCTTGTGCGTTTATATCTACTGATGGGGGGGGATGGTATGAGGGGCCTCGGTCCTTTGCAGCTTCGCATCTGTGTAATTGGGCGTGTAATTGTGTTTGCCTTTTCACATTTAGCCAGCCAGCCAGCCCCAAAAGGTCACTTTTGATGTGTGTCCTGTGGCGGTGCTGCATTGTACAAGTACATGGGGCTCTCCCAATTAAAATGCCGCTCAAAAGCTTCGCCCAATGACCCAGAACGAAGAGCAAAACTATTTATTTAATTGAGTTTAAGCCGCCAACGCGCCTTAAATTAGGAGCAACTTTCTCGGACGACGACTAAACTTTGATGTGGCAACTTTGACAACTCGACAATGAGCCAGAGAGTCCATAACAGCCGAATGTCCTTGGCGGGTTCAAGGCCGACACAGAAGCCCTGCCTGCCATTCAAGTGATTGACTTAGCCCAGTGCGACAAGGGGCTTATTTATTTTCAAGTATGCGTGGCGGCGTCTGTCCGCCTATCAGATGACATGATACCTGAGACTAAAGCGTGGGTGGCCGCGCAGCTGTGGAGGCCAGTGCGTGACAGACAGCAGACAGGGGGTGCGGCCTAGCCCTAAGTATTGTTTGCTCCTTCATTGAATTTCTATGAAGTCCCACAATTATTTATTTCAAAAATTAAAGAGTTCCAACAGAAGTTCTAACTGTCTTATACATTATTGAATTATTTTCAAGCATTTACTCTAATATTTACTCTGAATGCTAGCTGATGACCACAGGGGGAAAATATGTCGAGTCGCGTCGCGTCTACCGACTCCCTCAAAGTCTGCCACACTTTTTTTGTGCACTTCGGGAACAGAACTTGGCCATTGACTCATGTGAGCCATTAATAGCTGTGCAAATACTTGAAAGTCACCGCATTCTTTGATAAAAAATTCTCAACGAATTCGGAGCTAAAAAAACCCCAAAAAAAAAATATAAACAATTTGTAATCGGCTCGCTGTTTGCGCGCTGCTTTGACTCTATAAGTTTGCCGAAAAACACAAAACGACCATTAACTTTATGACATTTTGAGCTTACAAAATTTTAATGAGTTGCTCCGTGCTCATTATCGGGAAAGTAATGTGTCTCTGAGACCAGGATTATTGTCAAATTAGGATAGTTATATTCAAATAAATCATCGATTTGCTGCTTAAGCAGTTAAGATGTGCGGTAAATTTGTGAACAGTCGATTAGAGATGGAAGCCACTAAAAAAAGAAATTATTCGAAAATTTGTTTAAATGTAATTTTTGCTTATTCAACGTTGAACATCTGAAGCACGGGATACTCGTAGATTTAAGGCCAAATTTTCCTCAGTATTTCATTATTAAGATATAAATCGGACCGGCCACTTGAAGTTGCCATCCCTAGTTTGATATTTGCGCTGGCATTGGCTGTGGTTTCACATGGCGACTCCGATACGAAACAGTTTGATAAGGGGCTACAAAATAAGAGAACAAGTACGGGCCAAGCGCCAATTGGCCCCGTTATCACCGCGGCTGACTGGTGGTACTGGTACCCAAACAGCTGTGATTTAGTCATAGCCGAAGCGTTGCCGTGTTCACCCAGCCATCGTCCAACGGCGTTCGATTTGCCTCGTCGCGTAACAATAATAAATATCAATAAATAAATGCCAATAAATAGTGGTGCAAAGTGCTGAAGACATGTTCAGATATGTGATGGTTGTGTGGCTCTTGTGGGCCATTTCGCGGAGACTCTCAGTCTCTGGACAGATCATACCGCTGCCGACGTTCTGCCAGCAGGTGGACCAGAGCTGCAGCTGCGCGGCCGAGGCTAATGTGGTGCGGTTCCACTGCCCCAACGAGTACGCCCTGCTGCTGGAGATGTCCGAGCTGGGGGCCTCACTTTACGTCAGCTACTACGCCGTAGACGGGCTGCACTGGCTGCCGCGCTTCAACATCACCGAGCTGGTCAAGATCGAGTTCGACGCGTACAACTTCTGGCCGGAGACCTTTCTCGACGACCTGCTCGCGGGCCTGGGAGTGGAGACAGTGAATACCATGCGCTTCCGTGACCGCACCTCCGAGACGGTGGTGACGAAAGATATTTTCAACGGGCCCTTGTTCGATCAGCACGAGAGCACTGTCGCTCCGGGGAACACCTCAACATGGCTGTTCGGAGCAGTTCCCGGGCTGAAGAAGCTGAAGTTTGTCAGTGATGTCAAGGAGCTCCAGGAGTCGATATTCCAGGCCTTCGACAGCCTCACCGATCTGGACCTCTGTGTGAATGTGTTATTCTTGCCGGGAAAATTGCTCTCCTCGGTCACGGGTAGCCTGGAGACGCTGACCATCGAGAGTCCCGGCATGGTGCAGTTCCACACGCCTCTGCTGCGAGAGCTCCAGCAGCTGCGCAATCTCAGCCTGGAGCTGACGAACCCCCAACGTGGGCGCAACGACGAGCTGCAGCCCCATCTCTTCAGCTCCATGAAGCAGCTGGAGGAGGTGCGTTTGTTCCAGGCCACTGGCCACGTAAACAGGAAAATGTTCAGGGGCAGCGAAAAGTTGCGACTAATCCGAATCAAAGGCAACGATGACCTCGAATCGCTGCCCGGCCAACTGTTCGCAGATCAGGCGAATTTAAACACTCTGGATCTATCCTGCAACGGGCTGAGCAGACTGTCGGAGCAAGTCTTCTATGGTCTGGGAAACCTAACCAGTCTGGATCTATCCAAAAATAGACTCACCAATTTATCAAGGTGGGGGGTACTCTTGCTCTGCTCTCTTGTTTCGCCTCATTTGTCACATGCTTGTGCTGTGCTGTGCTGTGCTTTGCTGATTAAAAGATGGCCCTCCCTCTCGCCAGAAGTACTGCCAGAGTAATTAATCAAAACAAAAATAAAACAGGGTCTCCGCTGCGGAGCCGTAGCCCTATCGCTGGGTCTGGCTGCTGCTATCTCTTATCAGCTGTGGCAGAGCGATAGCTCAACGACTATTCCGTGTCTCTCAAGACAGTCAAATGGTGTTATCACAGTTCCATCGATGCTACGTTGAGATACCCATACCCATACCCAGCACCCAGCACCCAGGCTGAAAAACCTTTTTCGGTAGTATTGCGATTGTGTTAGTGATTCCCAAGAGTAAGCTCAGAGCTGCTACTCACTCACACATATCCACCTACATAAGTAAACAGAGTGTGTCATAGGAACGGGCCATAAATAGTGCCACTCATTGAGTGGATAAATGGCAGTTGCAAACAGGAAATAGATAGTTAGATATCTAGAGAGAGAGAGAGCCCTGGCACAGACCCAAGCAAACATAAAATCCATACATAGCACATACTCGTATATGTATCAATCGCAGTCTAATAATCCTTTCTTATTAATCCACCAGCACAATATTTATACCACTCACTTCGCTGAATGTATTAGTGTTGAACAAGAACTCCCTGACTGCTCTGGCGCCGAACGTATTTCAAGAGGTGCGAAGCTTGAACTTTATTGACATGACGAACACCCAGTTCTACGGGGCCACTCTGCTGATGAGCTATGAGGCAATAGTCTGCACCAACGACGAGACGTGCCAGTACAAGTCGGAGGAGTGGCAGTGCGACCAGCGCTGCATTTGCTGGGTGCAGCGAGACTCGTTCAAGCTGATCGTGGACTGCAGGGGAACCAGTATGGAGGAGCTGCCAGTGCTGCCCCACACAACGCTCGTCAGCACGGTGGTGAAGGTGGGAAACAACAGCCTCACCCATCTGCCCACTTCCAGCCAGCACGCTGGCTATGCCAATGTGAGTGGCCTCCTGTTGGCAGACAATCAGATTACCAGTCTGGGGTCGGGGGCACAGCTTCCCGTCAACCTGAGCTACTTGGATGTGCGCCGAAACCAAATAAGTGTCGTCACCGAGGAGTTCATCACATTTTTGCAGCAGGAGAATAACTCAATGACCATTTCGCTGTCGGGCAATCCCTTAATCTGCGACTGCGACGCCCTGCCACTGCTCTTCTTTGTCAGAACTAGTCCCCAGCGGGTGGACGACATTGGCGAGCTGCAGTGCAGTCGCCAGAACAAGGCTCTCCAGCAAATGGAGGCCTTCGATCTGTGCCCGTCGTATGTTCTGCTCATCAGCTGCATTGTGGGCGGCCTCGTGATTGTGGTCTGCCTGATCAGCGTGTTCTACCTTATGTTCCAGATGGAGCTCAAGATTTGGCTGTACAACAACAACCTGTGCCTGTGGTGGGTCTCGGAAGAGGAGCTGGACAAGGACAAGACCTACGATGCATTCATTTCGTACTCGCACAAGGACGAAGAGCTGATTAGCAAACTCCTGCCCAAGCTTGAGTGTGGCCCGCATCCCTTCCGCATATGTCTGCACGATCGCGACTGGCTGGTGGGTGACTGCATTCCGGAGCAGATCGTGCGCACCGTCGACGACTCCAAGAGGGTGATCATCATCCTGTCGCAGCACTTCATCGACTCTGTGTGGGCCCGCATGGAGTTCCGCATTGCCTATCAGGCCACGCTGCAGGACAAGCGCAAGCGCATCATCATTATCCTCTACAGGGAGCTGGACAACATGAATGGCATTGACAGCGAGCTGCGGGCGTACCTCAAGCTCAACACCTACCTCAAGTGGGGCGATCCACTCTTCTGGAGCAAACTCTGCTATGCCATGCCCCACAATCGACGTGTGCTCAAGGGCCAAAAGAAGCATGCTGGCCCCCTCGTCTGAGTAATGGATATACATATATGTACATATTTGAGTCTATATATTCGGATATATTGTACTCTGTGGCTGCTCTACTCGGGTCTTAATGAGCGTTTCTTCCTTCAGGTGGGCACCGATCCAGAAATCCTTCAGTTCTACGTACGGACTGTAAGATAAGGACAAACCCTGGAAAATACCCTGAACCTGTATCCGAAAATGCTTAGATTCTGTACGTTTGGATCCATTGCCTGCAGGTCGAATTCGATTCGGAGTCAATGTATTATTTCTACTTGATATTCATGAAGTTTTCAGAGGAAATTTCATCGGGTGATAAACAATAAAGCAATATTAATAATACAAAAAAACAACAACAAATATTTTAAGCTAATATTAAATCGCTGCCATACAATTTCTAAGAATTTATTTTACAATTTTTTGCTCAGGGAATAAAAAGTGCAGCCGTGAAGATGACAGCCTTACGACGTAAACCAAATTAATTTTGAATTATTCTCTGAATTAATAATTCGTCTAAGTATAGGGGACGACGCCTGTGCTTGAGAATAAAAACCTCTGCTGGATTAAGTCTGCCTTTTTGTGGGAGCCTCTTTACTTATTGTTCTGCTTCTAAGATTTATGGGCGAACAATTTTATTTTATCACTTTGTGGTACATTTTTAATTAAAATTCTAGACATTGTTGGATAAATTTGAATTCCTCTTAGGAATTCCATTCAGGTTTTAAATATCAGCATTTATGGAATGCAGGCAACTGTTGTGTGTATACTTACAACAAAAAAAGACGAAAATAAATTACATCTGCTTCCTGGGGAGAGTCAAATTAATAAAAGAATTTTTTAATTCTATCTTTTTGCTTCCATGTCTGCATAGATGAATGCATATCCCATGGCTAACATATATGTGTGTATGCATGTATTTTTTTTGTATTTGTTATTATCTTCAGACACCGACCAAAATATTTCACACTTGAATAATCAAAGGAAAGTTTCTTTCCGTTCCATAAACTTGCTTAAATATTTATTCAGTCACACTCTTTAATAAAAAGCCCTCGCCAGCGTCAAACTCTAATTATCCAGTTCAGTACAGGCGTTGGCCTTCGTTGCTGAATTGAGGACTATGCCCAGGCACATTGCAAGTCCCAGCCAAGCCAATTTTCAGCCAGCAATAAGTGAAAATATATGTGTGTAATATAAAGAGGGGAAAAAAGCATTTGGTCCTTTCGCCACACAATTGCCTGGCATTTGTCTGTCGCGCCCCGTCACCCTTTTGGGTTGAGCGGGGTCTGGGTCTGGGTCTTTTGGCGTCTTTGAAGATTCATTGCCTGCCGTTGGCCAACGTTCCGCTGTGGGCGACGCGTCTGAAAAGGCGAGTGTCATAAGGCAAGTGGAAAACTTCCGTTCAGCAAGGCAATTATTCTAATAACTGAAATAATTCAACTAGAATGAAACGCATTTAAATCCTCCCATGTATGTGATTATAATATGTATATTATATATCTCCTTTTTACCTGCTTCTCTATCTATAGCCCCTTTATAGTTATCATCTAACTAGCAGTTGCATTTCATTGTTTGTGCGGAACCAATTGAAATGCCTCGGTACTATCCCCGACCAATGATGCGTGAACGATGTAAATGTGTAATACTTATTAACCTGAAGCCATCATTCCCTACTCAATCGCATCATGAACGTAAAGTTGATGCTGCTGCTGCTGCTGCTGCAGTTGGCCTTCGTCTCGGTCCTGATGCTTGGTCGTGAACCGCTGAGGTGCAAGCCGCCGCAAATAAAGTTTTGTAACGCATGCCGAGATGTGGAAGTAGTATCAACGTTCGCGTTGAAGAAGTGCGAGCCAGGTTACATATTGGACCATGGATATTGCCAGACTGCAAGACGAAAATGTTTGCCCGACGAGCTGAAGTTACCCTCTGGAGGTTGTCGGAAGAAAAAGAGAAACTTGAAGCGTTGTGAGGAAATCTCCCAGGAATTGGTAAAGCTATTGCCAATCTGCGGCCCAGGCAAAACGCCCAACGACAAATGCCGCAAAGAACGTTAACTATTCTTGAAACTAAAAAACTTAAGACCCGATTAAGGACTTTCATATTCCGAAAAACAGAAGGGCTTTTCCATTTTAGTTCTTCATAAATAAAAAGTGATCAATTTTATTGAATTTGAATTTCTCGATCCAACGATGATTTTAAGCTTATTTTGACATATTCCTCACGTCTGTGGAGTCATAGGTCTTATAGTAATTTTCACAAAAGTCAGTGATATTGTGTAATCAAACGAAGTCCAATGGCCCCAACTAATTCCATTTTTTTCATTGGCGATACCTTCTCTGAAATATTTACCGTTTAACGAACTGAAAAATAAATGAAATTAATTAACATTAAGCGAGTTCTCTCTAAAAAAAATAATAGAAGAATTACCTTCTTCCGCAATCCAAACCATCAAACCACCACGGACCGCTGAAAATACGAACGCAATTGCTAACGCTGTCCCGATCCAAAGTATAGAAAATTGCTCCCTTGTGTTCCTTTAGGGAGTCTCCTGCATTTCCCGAATATTCACCCAGCGATTTAAGAATAAAGCTTTCTTCTTCGCTTCCCACGATGAAGTTGTCATATCTGGCATGGCGATAAGTGCCATTAACATCTCGCAGTTGTATATACAATTCATGAGGCTGAGCTGCGGTCATAAAGTGCAATTTTTCCAGCCCAATGAAGAACTCTCCACGCATGTCTCCAAATCCCTCTTTGTACTCCGTCCAGTTTCGATTAAAGTCCACACTCCCGTCGATTCGCCTTTGAATGACCGTCCATCCATGAGAATCGCAGGGAACTTGGAACGGCTCCATTCCCTTGATCTTTATCTGGAAAATTCCATTTGGGCCCCCATTGGGACATGTGTCGGGAAGATTCTCCGTCGTTTGATTAAATTTCGATAGCTGATAATTTTTTTCAGCACGCAAGATTTGTTCCTCTTTTCCTTTAATTTGTTCGTCTTTTTCCTTTAGTTGTTTGTCTTTTTCCTGGATTTGTTCGTCTTTTCTTTTAATTTGTTCGTTTTTGTCCTTGATTTGCTCTCTGAGATCCTTCATTTGCTCGTCTTTGATTTTAATTTCGGTCCCACTATTTACTAACTGACTCTGCAAATTGTTGATGGTCAGCTCCAATGAGTGAATTTTGTCTTTGATTTCATTATTGGCATCTGTTGCCTCTTTTAACTGGACTAAACTATCGAGGAATGGCTGGACAACTGAGAAACAATATCCATTGCACTGCTCCTGGAAGGTAATTTCCTTCGCCACATTACCTTGCAGCAAAAGCAAGCAGATGATTGCCACAAAGCCCAAGTTGTTCATGTTCGCGTACTGTCGATTCAAAACCAAACTGAGGGAAATGGATCCGATGCCCATTTAAATATATCAATTCTCAATTGCAATTCATACTATATGTACATATACATACATATGTACATACATACATATACATAGTGTATTCCTGGAACTGATAACCAATGCATGATAAGCTATGTGTTTGATCTCAGGCTATCAACTAAGTGAATAATATTCCTTGTCGGCTGTATATTGTTTATTGTAAAATTGAAATTTGGCATTTTTGCGTTTAAATAGCATTTTGTGTATATACATATGTAAGTATTGTATGTACTTACAGAAGTATTGCATGTACAATGTACCTATCAGCATATAACAGGAAAGTATACATTTTTCAGAAGTACAGCGAGTAGGCATCTATCTTATGGTTAGTCTCTGGCTCTTATGACTATTTTCACGAACAACATCTATTACTGTTTTAATCTTCTGCGGGTAATCGTATAAAATCATGGCGGTGTTCATAGTGTATCATATGAGTATTGTGCGATATGGTTTAAGGTCCATCTACGAACTCAATATATGAAAGGTCCTCTAAAATTTCAAGTATTTTCTACATTTATTGTTATTCTGCTTTCGATTTCTTAGCAGCTTTTAAGTAATGACAATTGATTGCTGCCCCAACACTTTGAAGCTGCCATAAAATAATCATTTTCGCTCATTTTTCATAACCTGAAAGCCAAAGCATTAGCAGTCTGGGTATGGGTCTGACTCCGGTCTGAGTAGTTATCACAAACATCTGTTTGCAACTGCTTTTCATTTATCATAACTTTTGTGAAAAGAAACTTTATAAAAATGTGTTTGTCGACCCTTACCCAAAAGTCCCTGTGACCGACGTGACCTGATGGCGAATAGTTTTTTGTTTTCGCTTCTCTTAGCCGAAATTCAAATACTGCAGATGCTTGTCGATGAACTGGTTGCCCGAAAATAGAACGGGGTCTCTCAAGGGGGGCTAAGACCTAATATATTTGTGTGTAGGAGTGGATGGGTGCATCAATGACTCTGCCCCGGCCCGGATCCAAAAATTGTTGCTGGCCCTGAGTGTGATTTGGTGGCTCCATTGACGATGTCCCCTGCCATTTCAGCACACAAATCCTCATATATATGTATAAGAATATATCCGAATATTATTTGCTGACGCCTGCATTGTAAGAGAACGTGGGTGGTGTTGGCATTTGGCAAAATTCGATTTTATTGCATTTTATTGCCAGCTCTTTCAACTGTGGTGTGTGGCAGTAGCCTCGTTGCGGTTGTGTTCTGCAATTAGTGCTCGTTTCACAGCAGTTTCAGTGCCGTGCCATGTGGTCGTCACGGAAAATGCATTTCGTTTTCCGACACAAAGGGGTCATTAACAAGTCCAGAGAGTGGTCTCGGGTGCGGTTTCCCTCAACTTTTGGTTTTCAGTGGCCTTAAGGCGTTGGCTAAAGTGAAGCTACCAGTTTGCAGCAATGCTCACACATACATGCATACATATGTACATATGTATATGAATGAACATCTTGAAGCCCCATCAAGGATTTAAAAAGTATATTTTGAACACAGTTGTCTGTTATTTTTGTTGCCCTTAATTCATTAAATTGATTGATCACCTCCCGCCATCTTAACACATTCACTACCTTCCCACAGACAGATTTATGTATTGGAATTCTATATATTCTGTACTGCCAGGACCGACACTTATCTTTGATTGTGTGCAGTTCACGCTAGGGCAATTGTTCATATTTTAGGATTTTTTGGTGCGTGGCTGTTCTGACCATTCCGCCCAGTGCTGCTGCCAGTTGCCAGTGGCGTGGTTGATAAATGACCCACCCCCCCAAAGGGGGTGCAGGAAAAAGTGGACAGTAGGAGCTAAATCATAAATGCAAGCAAACTGCTGACGTCTGCAGCTACTCATCTTCAGCTTCGTCTCTCACCCCCTGCTGGCTAGCCATCATGTGGCATAAGTCCAACCATTTGTCTGCCTCTGGATTGGAGCCCAAGCTGCGGGCTCGACTCGGCTGGTCAGTGCCTGTAAATCAATCGCAGTGTACCGTGCTCGGCATTAATCAAAAACTAATTTATCAGCAAGTGGGTAGCCTTCTCCCTTCGTGTGGTGTTTTAGCTGCCCGTCGGCCATGGCTAGTGATTAGTTGTGCGTTAACCCCGGTGCGGCTCAGTTCCTTGTGCGGTGCCATGCGATTTTTCCCAAAATAAAAATAACAGCAAAAAAACCGAACGTAGATTACAAACTGCAAATTGCATTGAATATTTCATTTGTAAAGAAGCCAACTGCAGGCCTGAATTAATTGCTCGCCTGGGCTGGGATCATTTGTTTCACTCACCAGGTCACCAATTGCTGGCTGCACTTGCGTCAAATCCATTAGTACTCCACTTTGTCAGACCTAAGTAACGAACGGCCTCAGTTTCTGTCGCAGCCGTTTCTTACAAATTGATGACCCAAATACAAAGGGAATTCGAACCGAGTTAAAGGTCTGGGTCTATCCACGCGATATTTCTCATAAATAATAATTGGACCGCATGTGAGCCACTCAACTCAAAATGACAGAGACAGGAGCTGAAAACGAGTGCCAGATAGAAATCAGAGCCAGTTCCCAGTCGAGTGGATCAGCAGCTACTTGTGCATCGCTCTCGAGTGCAAATTGGATTACCCATCAAACAGCACAAAAGGCAGACGCAGACGCAGACGAGTCATCGCCTGGCAGAATGTTAACCCTCAGTGCACGTAGTCTATTGGTATGTCGGCTTAGATATTGTATTCATACACACCTACTATACAGTGCACACACATTCCAACTCTGTATATAAAACCAAAATTCTCTACTTGAAAAAGAGCTTTGTGCTGATGTTACTTTATCAATCAATTCAACTGGCTTTGTGCCTTGAGGACCTTAAAATACGACTAGGTCATCAATGCACAGAAGGTAAACACTTTATACACTTTAAATTTCAATAAGTACTATTTCTGATGTTACCAGAAGGAAGGACTCGCTTCAGGGGCTAATGTTTTCAATATGCTTGAAGATCGGGCCTTGCTATGACAGCTATATTCACTGACATGTATTGCTATTGTTTGATTATTTATTTATGAAATAGTAATTTCGCACATTTAGTTGATATATCCTTAGGTGGTTCTAATAAACCCAATATGGGATTCTATGAAATATTACCTTATCCCACAATATAAATCAAGCAATTAATCCAAAATGAATTTGTAATAAGGAAAAAATTTAATGATCATCAATAATTAATATGTATAGGTAATTCTTTGGGTTTCATGCTCTATAAAACGCAACTAGAAAATGCATAAAAATACCATCGGCACGCCGAAGTACAAAATACCCTTGCAGCTGGGCGACAGGGTTAACCAAAAATCTGTTTGTTTAGCTGTTTCTGGACAGATGGGGTTACAATTCTCACGTGAACCAGATAGCTTTTCCCATACATATGCACACATGGGCAACATGAAAAATATACAGAAACACAGTGTGAAAGCAAGGAATGGATTATCTTTAAAAGTCTCTCTACCCTATGATATTATGGATAATAAAATGTGAACAGTTACAACGATATCGCTGTAAGCTTATAGACATATTTGCATGCATCGAGCCAGACGGACATGGCTAGATAAATTCGGGTTTTTCCGGTCGGAAATTGTCTTGTCTGTGCGTTACAGAAGGGAAACTTTACAAGAGCCTTTGCAAGGGTATAACAACTAAACGAGTTGTCGTAAAAGGAACGAAACATTGCACCTGGCAGTGCGTAAACTAATCGGCGTGTAGTTGCCTGCGTTTGCCGCGACCTCGTCCAAGCTTCTTGGCACGCAGCTTGGACATGTGCGACATGACGAGATAAGTGCCCGGCAAGATGAGCAGTAGGAGGTAGAGTTTCAGGAAGAGAACCATGTCAAAGGTGATGTTCAGTTTGTTGGGCATTTCCACTGTAAAACGTTTCGTTTCCTCGATGTAGGGAATGTTTCGCAGCACGATTATGCCCTCGCAAACGATACCCATGGGGTAGAGCGGTATCCAGATGGTGTAGCGCAGCCAGGTGAGAAGTCCAACCTCGCGGCCTAACAGCTGACTGAGATAGAATGGATAGCTGCGCGAAGAGTAAAGAAAATTAATACGATTTGATGCTAATTTTAAGGGGCAGATAACGTACCGTATAAGCTCAACCAGGGACCAAATGATGAACACATAGAACACCACTGGCTTGGCATGCATACGGGGCTCCAATTCGATCATCAAAAACAAAATGAAATTGCGTCCCGATACCTGGAAGAAGGGTACTAGGGGGCTTCCCTTGGTGTAGCCAAAGAGCGGGTGCATAACCTCCAGGTATTGCAGCAGCTGGACAAATTTGAAAGCATTTCCCACATGGGCGTACGTCTTGGTTATGCTGTCCGAGCCATCGCGGTAGTAGAGCACGCCCATGACAGACACCACATACAAGTATCCCACAAACATAGCCAGGTTGTAAAACATCAGGTATACCTTTTTGGTTTTCTCTATAGATAATGTTTCATTGAAGCTGGGGAAACTCTTAGTTTAAATGCCAATCCCTACTCACCCTTGACATAACCGAGCTCGCGCCTCTGCAGGTCGTTGTATTCCTTCTCATAGTCCTGTCGCACATCGCGCGGTGCCTCCTCTACCTCCACATCGTCTTCTGTGCGCCAGCGGTCAAAGTCTATCTTCAGCCAGTGGGGTTTCTGGGGAGTGGCCACAAGACGGGGCCACCATGACGGCTCCAGTTTTCTTATCTGCAGCTCTATTTTGTTGTCGCTCACCACAAAGGTGGCGTTCTCGTCATCAATCAGAGCATAGAAATGCAGTTCGAATTTGTATGCATTCACACCCCTAGCCCCATGACCGTTTGCACTAAAGGAAACTGAAACCGGCGAAAAGTCCGCTATGGCGCCCTGTGAAAATTTTGGTGCACATTATTGATTTTTCGCGCCCTAAGAAGTTTTCTTGTGGGGCTCATCCACACACCTTTGCATCCTTGAGATCCACCTTCAGCTGCAGCGTTTGTTTGGTCTGTGACCAATAGACCAGGGGGCTTAATTGTGCCATTTTTCGGCACAATTTTAAACATTTATTATGGTTGTTATTTTGCAGAAGTGTGACCGCGGGTTTATAAAACAAATATACCGACAGACCCTCGGAAACATACCGTAATATACCTAAAACTGAGAAAATATACCATTATATACCGAATGTATCGACTGTTGCTCATCGCTAGTGTTTTCAGCTGTCGCAAGCTAACTGCTATGATACGCTGTGATAAGTTAGCCGCGAGAATTTGAATTTGAATGCTTGGCACCAAACCAAAAGACTTTATTTATTGATTTCGGTTGAGAATGCAATATTTGAAGAAATTAAATTTTGTGGGAAAATCTTATAGTGAACATTTTACTGCATAAATTCAATCAATTTTTGTCATCCGCTTTCGCTCTGTAACTAATTCGGACATTTTGATTTATGATGTCGCCACCGCGAAAATCGGAAGTTGTCCAGCAAACATAACAAAAACAAGGAGTAGAACCAACAGCCAACCCTCCACAATGGGGGACCCAGCGTTTCTGTGGCCATAGACACGACTTGTCAGTGTGTGCTGTTGTTATTTTTTGTTTTGCCTTGTTTTCCGGTTTCCTTCCTTTTTCTGGGCTGTGGGCGTTGGCAAAACAAAAGGCGACCACTTGTCAAGCATGTTCTGCCACTGGATATTGTATTTTGTATTTAGAATTCATCAACAGCTACTAATACTACCAAAGCAATCACAATGGGGCATACGTGTGAGATCAGTGCTAGGAATTGAGAAAACCAATGCTAATCCTGACCAGTATTTTCTTCTGTATCTATTTTGCAGCCATCGCACGCACATATCCATATCATTTTGCACACCGCGACAGACATAGGCACAGACGCAGGCGCGGGCGACAGAATATGTTGCGCTTTCTCAAGAATCGTTAGACATTGGGTCTGTCCAGATTTAGTTATCGTGCTGCGCCCATCTATCTACCTATCCATACATACATATGTGTAAATGCTTAGCTGAATCTGTATCTCCGTGTAAAGGTAAGTTTCTTCATATTTTATATACTGGAACAACATCCAACATCGTAAGCATTGCAAAGTTCTCAGGCGACACCTTTTCAAATGCGAGTATAAGTATTATATTTATTTCCGTGTGATTTTCGGTATTCTACATTATTCAAAATGCAATTTGAGGGGCATGCGAGCGAATACGAACAACGACCTCTAAATGGACGAGAACCAAAAATTATCCAGGTCTAAATTATGCATACTTTCGCCGTATGTGAGGTGTGGGCTGAGGGGGAGGTGGGGATTTAATAAACAGATGTTTCAGTTTGTTGGGCCACAATGGCATACATATATGTACATACATACATGCATACATACATATATATGTCTGTACGTGCGGGGCTTTTCTTGTCTCCCTTTAATTGCGCCTAATCACCTTGCTACATGGTTATATAAAGTGTGCATGCATGTACATACGAGTATACATATCTAGATACTCGTTAATAAAAATGCTGTCTGTCCCTTTTGACATTATGGTTGCCTGCGACCAAACAAAACGCAGCAAATGGTTAAGGTCAAGTCCAGCAGGAGTGGGTGAATAGGCGCATTCGCACCTCAAGCGTTGGTCAGAATAGGAGCTAGATATTGAGTCTAGCATTAAATACAACAGCTAGGAGTATATACACTGTAAAAGAACAGCAATACGAATTTTCAAAAATACAGGCCAGAATAGTATCAGGAAAAACAAAACAATAATCGACACTTTAAATGATTTAGTTTCTTACATTGAAATACATGCTAAATTTAGACGAATGTCCGATCGCTAAGCAGAGTATTTGTCAGATCTTTCTACATTCCAATGAGGCCGGCAAGATCTTTGGTCACTTGATTCCTGGGTACCTTTGGCCGGATACGCTCCTCTGTTATAAGCACCTCGGTGGTGGCAAGCAAGGAGGCAATCCCTGCGGCTTCTGACATGGCGGATCGCAGGGCACCTGTGGGATCGACAATGCCGCGCTCCTTGAGATCACAGAACTGCCCTGCGGCCGCGTCATAGCCAAAGTTGCCGCTCCCCTCCAGCACTTGGCGGATGACTTCGTCCGGATTGACGCCAGCATTGCGGGCTATGGTGTAGCAGGGCAGGCGAAGGGAATTCCTGACAATGTCCCTGCCAATTTGGTGCTCCGGTGTCTCGGATGGGGCCAGCGACTCCAGCGCGGGAATGCATCTGAGATAGGCAGTGCCGCCGCCTGGCACAATGCCATCACTGATGGCCCCATGCACCGCATGGAGAGCATCATTGAGTCGATCCTTCTTCTCGCTGACCTCCAGCTCGTTGGCCCCGCCTACGTAGATGGTGGCCAGATAGCCAAAGAGTCGCCCCATACGCTCGTTGAGCTTGTCCACCTCCTCGTCGGTGATCGCCTCCTCCATCAGGGCTCTGATGTGTTGGACCCTTGCATGCACCTGATCCTCGTTGTGGATGCGTGGGTGGAGAAGGTGGGTGGAGCTGGAGTCGACAATCACCTCGCTTACTACCCCCAGGTCCTCAGCCTCTATCGCAGACAGACCAGTTGCATTCTCCAGTAGATTGGCCCCCATGGCCAATGCCAGATCCTGCATCTGATCTCGCTGCTCTGAACCGTGGCTGGGGGCCTTGACGGCGCACACTCGCAGGCAATTTCGCAGCTGATTCATTACCAAAGCCTTCACTACGTCTGCTGATATATCATTGGCTATGATCAGGAGCGGTTGTTCCTTGCTCTTGGCCAACTCTAGAGCGGGCAGAATTTCATCCAGCCGTTCAATGTTGGCCAGAGTGGCCAACAGAAGGACATTGCTGTACTCCACTCGATTCCCATTCCCCTGGTTGGCAAACAGAGGCGACACGAATCCCTCCGGCAGAGTGACACCCTCCTGAACCTTAAGCTCATCGTTGAGGCACTTTGACTCCTTCAGCAGGAACACTCCGCCCTCGCCCAGCTTCAGTATAGCGTCGCCAATCATGTCGGACAATCGTTTGTCTCCGTTGAGCGCAATCGTGGCGACGGCCTCCACTTCGCCGATCGTTTCGACTATCTGGGACATGCTCTGGAGCTCCTCGCACACCACCCTCGATGCTTCGAGCATGCCCTCCCTCAGCGCATGGACATTGACCTGCCCCTGGCGGATGACCTCCAATCCCTGGCTGGCCATACCTTTGGCCAGAATCGTCGCCGTCGTGGTGCCATCGCCCACTTCGTTGTTGGTGTTTGAGGTTGTTTGTCTCAGCAGCTGGGCTCCCATGTTGCAGCGTCGATCCTCCAGCTGGACATTGTTCGCCACTGTGATCCCATCCTTGGTGATCCTCGGCGAAATCATGAGCTGCTCGATCAAGACATTCCTTCCCCTCGGACCCAGGGTGGCGGACACTGCATTGGCCATGATATCCACGCCCTTCAGCAGCAGTCCCCTCGCCTCCGGACCAAAGCGTATGTCCTTGGCATAAGTGCGGATGGCCCCGACGATATAGCGGCGTCCACAGCGCTTCAGCATTTTTCTCTTTCAATGTTTCTTTTAGTTTTGGTTCACAGGAAATTTTATCGCTATAATCGAAATTTGAAATCAAATGTAACTAAATAATTTAAATTTGTTTTTGAATAAAAAGTGAATGGGAGATTACTTTTTTCTTTCTTTTTCTTTTGAGATTATGCCAAGAAGGTTTTTCAGGGTTTTAAGGTTTTTAAATCCCCCAGATTTACCATTGCTTTGACTTGGCTATAAAGCAAGGACTGTAGAAAGAAAATACTTAAAAATATGTAAATAATAAATGTAATAAATTAGGCACAAAATGCCTATTAGTGCCTCAATTTGATTGGTTGAAGGCACACCACACTGCTCTAACTCTTACGTAGGGTATGTCCATGTCGTTCTTTTACGCTTCATATTTTATTATGTTACAACTTGTTTTCCTTTTCGTCATTTTATTTTAACAACAAATATTACATTTGTGGCATGTTTCCTGCTTGTTTTCGGGATTCGTTTATTAAATGTAGCGTGCACGTGTTGGTAAACTACCACACAAACACAGATACAGAAAAACAGAGAGACAGAGAGAGGGAGAATGAGACACAGACAGGCACCACACACACACACAGTTGAACAGGAAACACGAAAGTCGCCTTCAGACACTCACCCATACAGAGACATGCCGAAGGCAGACAATGCCAGTCCGACATTAATATTAACAACGTTAACGAAACAACAACAAAACACTCATCAAACATGCGGCGTTTAGTACGCAAACACACACAGCACACCGGCCACACACACACACACACACAGATACACACCCATACAAACCCAATTTCAATATGTGAAAGAGCGAGCGAGATAGATGTCGGACATTTCCTTTCGCCTCTTTCCGGTGCGTTGAAAGTTTCGCTTTTCGTTTTTCGTTCGCTCGATGTTTTTCCTTTTCGTTTTTTTGTTTTTAGTTTTTTGGTGTCTTTCAGTTGGCGGCGAGCATTTCCTTAAGGCAAACGCGGCTCTGATTTTCCCTCCGCAGTTTTTCCGCTCAGTGCGTTAAGAAAATACAAGAAAATTTCGAATTTATCCCCGAACCAAATTGTGCACAGTGCTTAATATTCAGTGTTGATCATGGCTCTGGTGGCCCATCGCATGATGCTGCCCTCTCGGCATCGTCGCACCCATTCGCAGGTTGCACGAAATAAGGTTGGAGTCCTGCTGGTGCCCAGCGTGGCGGAGTACTGCGGCAATGAGCAGCCGCAGCCGCAGCATCAGCCAGTAGCCCCCACAGCCACCCAGCTGCAACGGCCCTTGGAGCAGCAGGACGCTGAAAGCGGCAATGCAAAAGTGAGTGCAACAAGTTTGTGCAACGGTTAGTCCATTGCATGCATAACAGAACGGGAATCCCTGTTCTCCTGCCACTGCCATTTGCGGCCAGTATGGCGGGCGACTTGCCTACTTCTTCTCGCCTATCCCCTACATATTTGCCTTTTCACTCTGCTCTCGCTGGCGCCAACATTCTGCGGCACATTGTGTGCTGAGATGTTGGGTCCCATTTTTGTTGTTGGTCCTGGTCATGGTTGGGTCGTAGAATGTGTGTTTTTCTCCGGGGTTGTCTACCCCCGGCTGTCAGACGAGATTATTGGACATGTGACGAGCATTAAAGTTTACATTTACTGGCAGTGGAGAGCAGACCAGTGATAACGAAAATATACATATATTCAAAATTATAGTTTTATCGGCATATAATCTCTTACAACAAATAAATTTATTATTTTAGTATTTGAAGCCTTTTTCTAGTCAATTAATTCAAGTCAATTAATTTCAAATGTTTGTGATTTTTGTATTCTTTAATTTACTTGATGGCTGCGCTGTCAATACCGATGAAGGTGCGTGCCATGTCTGGGCTGAATATAGTGTTTATCACACCACTTGGTCAGACCATGAACACCAAATGGAATTTTTAATACGTGTTGCCCGACAACGGTAATGGTTTGGGCGATAATTGAATAGGTGGACTACGACTGGTGGGCTTGGCTTGGCTCGCTTTTCGACTCCTGTTTTGTTTTGGTTCTCGGATGCAATGGCACCTTCCATTATTCTGCTATTACGATGCGTGACGAACATTTCGCTGGCGCACAGAGCGTACAAGCCCATAATTAATTCAATGCTTAGGGCGGCACTTGTTTTCGTCTCGGACTGAGACTGGGACTGGGATTGGGGCGGCGGGACTGACACCGGTTACACTAATCAATAAGCCGTAATGCTCGGCCTTGACATGATATATTTAGCCAGAAGAGCTTATTTATTTAGCACAATTTGTATTCAGTGAATAACTATTAACTACCAAGGAGAAACCAAAGTGGGGTAAGTGAGCCAAAAAGGACATACATATATTTCCATGTACATGCCTACCACGAAAAACCTGTTGCAGGCTTGGAATTTTCCAAAATCGACCCAACTCTATTATTAAAGAAGAGCCCGAAAGACAGTAAAACCAATCCACTAGGAACAGTGGGAAGCAGCTATTGAAAAAATACGTTGAGGGGGGCAGAACCAAACAAAAGCCGCCGCCAGACCAAAAAAAAACGTGGAACTTCTACTTGATTTTTACATGGATTATACACATAGGAATTCTACATGAACCAATGGAGCCAAAGTGGAGATAAAAACCGTAAAAAGCTCTCTCGCGAGCTTTTCTGGTGTTTGAAATTCAGCTGCGAGTGTGTGTGTGTGCTCCCATTTTCCATGTCACATCACCAATGGAACTGAGAAAAGTCCACCCACTACTGGAAGTGCTCCTTGAGGCTTTTAGTCTCGTAATGAATGCAGCTGAGAGGGCCCGGATCTTAAGCATCATTCGTAGTCACTGCTGGTGACCGCCTACTTACTTCTACTTCTTCTCTGCATCTTTCTCCTCCTCCTGTTGTTGGCGTTCTGCTGCCTTGAAATCCCAAAGTCATTGCTATTATATACCATATATTATTTCAACGGACACTCTGTTCCTTAGGGAAGAGTTCCAGTACCAGTACCGTATCGCAATTGTTATTGAAAACTGAGATGGGGATTGGGGGCTTAGAATAAAATAATAGATGGAGGGACTGGCAAACTTGTTGATACGATTTGATATCCGACATTTCCCTTTGTTTATATTAGCCGCCGACTGAGTCCGATGATTGTTTTCGCTGAATTTTGATACTTTAGAAAAACGTCTGCGACTGCAAACCCAACCATATAAGTTATCAGACTCGCTGGCCATTTCGTTGTGGGCAACCAGCCAGGCCGGCGAGCTGTCTCTCTTCGCAATCATACACATCCCATTCCCCATCATTCTGGCTGCCTATTCATGGCACTGCATCGAGCCGGCTGCCTATGTGGAGATCCGTAGCGGAAATCAGTTGCAGCTCCCAACCGAGGATCCACTACCCAATTCGGCTGGACCTCGTGTGAATGAGATAATCAGACAGGCAGCAAAGGAGCATGAGATGAAGAAGATGCGCCACTATGGGGAAAGATCCAGCCATGATGAGGCGAAACATATATCACATCTATAACGCGATTAAGTTTTTTATGCATTTGTCAATAATATTATCACAATTTACCTTTACTTTGTGTTCCATCTGAACCAATGAACACTTGACAAGTGAGAATGCGTTTGTGTTTTTTCTATGTTATCTATGTGGGCGACTGGTACTAAGCAGATTCCTCTCCTTCGTCCACTAACAGTACAATTTCAGTTAGATCCAGCTGATAGTAGAAAAAAGTATTTTAATCTGCTTCACCTTTGCTTCCTCTGCTCTGCTTCCAAGTCCTTTCCATAAATAAATACTCCAAGCCACTTTTCATATAAAGTTTTAAGTACTGCAGCAGAGCTTTTATAACTTTACCTTTAAACACAAAATGCACAAATTTATAAAGGTACTCGTATACACGGATACCAGTAGAAGTGTGATACGTACGATACATAAATAATGAAACATCTCATGGTAATTACGATGATGACGATAAAGGACAAGTAGGCAAGGTCTTGTTGGCAAATTGTCATAATTTATGAAACGAAAGCCGAAAAACCAGGCAGTCAACGTTGTGTCCCCTCCTGAAACTTTAATTAAGTCGAACTTATCTATGCTCTACACATGAGAATTGAGAGAGTGGGCTCTCTCTCTCTCTCTCTCTCTCTCTCGCTCGCTCTTCCTCGGAAACTTACTCTGCTCCACGCATAAGCCAGAAAATGCTCTCAGATATGCAAATGAATGTGGCAGTGGCACGTCAAATGTGGCTTTACGCCCCCTGCACACAGACACCCACACATACAGTGACAGACACAGGCAGAGGCAGAGGCACCTTGGGGAACATGCATTTTGGTCATGTTTACAATGTCAGCCAGGATAACGGGCGCAGGGCGGACGGCAGTGTGGTTCGTGTGGGGAAGCTTTCACCTAAGCAATGTCAGCGAATTAGGCCACAGAGAGGAAAGAGCTTGCATCAGCTGTTTGCAACGCCCACGCACAGCTGTTGCGGGGCCAGGGAGAGCGAATGAGCTTTCGTGCGGAGCACCGCTCTCACTGGAGAGAACAGGCGGCCCCACCTGGCCAAACGCCTGCTCCAGCTTCGGGTTCCAGCTTTGTTTACAAGTCCACTGGGCGCACTGCTCCCGCTCCTACTCCTGCTGCAGTGCAGGACGCACGAAGGATGCGACCCACTTCGGTAGTGTATCGGTGGCGACGGCCGCTTTCAATTTCGTTCAACCTGAAACCGAAACGAATCCGAATCCGAATGGAAGTCGGTCTCGGACTCGCACTCGCAATCGGCGTGGCTGCCTTCGCTTTCAGTTGCGCCCCGTTATTCGTTGGTGGCCGTTGGGCGGCCTCAGTCGTGTTTTTGTTGTGCTGGTTCGCGCGTTTCCTGCTGTCGTCGTCCTCGCCCTCGTCATCCTCGTCGGCAGCACAGTAGCAGCAGAAGTAGCAGCAGGACACAGGTCTAGGGAGCTGCAGTTTGCAAAGTCGCTACGCGACGCGACGCGTCCGCTCCTGTAAAAATCCAATTTCTACCATTTTTCTACTCGTTCGCAAATACTCGTAATACAATATTCAAAAAAAAGTTCGATTTCCCTGGAATTCGCTCAGATAAT